CCCTATAAACCCCAAACCCTAAACCCTGAACCCTAAGCCCTTAAGCCTAAACCCTAAACCCTAAACCCCTAAACCCTAAACCCCTAAACCCCTAAACCCTAAACCCTAGACCCGAAAACCCTAAACCCTAAACCCTAAACCCTAAACCCCAAAACCCTAAAAACCCTAAACGCTCTTTATCATATGAATTTAAACCCTATACTCTTCGCGGAAAATGGCACATTCCCGGTTTTTTCCACGAAAATGGCCACAACACCGGAATTTTCCACGAAAGCGGCCACCTCGTTCCGGAATTTTCCACGAAAATTGCCAGAAACACCGAATTTTCCACGAAAATTGCCATCCCACCGGATTTTTCCACGAAAATGGCCACCAACCCCGGAATTTTCCACGAAGGTGGCCACCCCCCTCTTTCCGCGAAGATGGCCACTAACCCTGGAATTTTCCACGAAGGTGGCCACCCCCCCGCGCGCGATTCTCGGGCTTCGGAATTTTCCACGAATGTGGCCACCCCCCCCGGCCCGGGAATCCAAGAACGTGGCCACCTCCCTGGATCCACGAAAATGGCCACTAACCCCGAAATTGTTACCCTGGAATTTTTCATGAAAGTGGCAACCGGGCGATTTCCACGAAAATGGATGGGCCACCCCTATTCCAACGAAAATGGCCACCTCCCAAGAATTTAGCTAGCCATGTGGTTCAAGGGTGGGTTGGGGAACTGTCACTTAGACAAGTCTGGTAAGTCTTCGACTCTGAGACACAAAAGAGTGTAACCGAAAAGACTGTCAGAACCGTGCCTTGGCAAGAGTTCCGCGTAGTGGCAGACGCGTTGCTAGCCTGGCAGGCGGTGGTGCTTGAAGGGGCGGTTGGGCTAGTCGTGGACCATGTGAAGTGTAAAGTCGGGACGGTGTCGTTTTGCTTTCGAGGGTCATGCTCAAGCGCTGAGGAAAACATGTAGAGAATCTGTCATGCGATCGCCCCCAGCTGGACTGTTTGAGACGTGTCGGGATTGGACCGCGAGCAGATCGAAATCAAAAGTTGGAAAGTGGTCGTGCTGACCTTCCAGACTCGAGCAGAGGGAAGGTCACAAGCTAGAAACATCTGAGGGGAAGTCATCTGATATTGGCTCGGGCTCACTTGATGAGTCGATTGTGTCTTCGTGCTCCTGAGTTGTCGTAGAATCTGAGCCTCGGTCTTCGTCCTCGCTGGACTCGCTGAGCACGGACAAGGTGACTTGTTCCTCCGGCCGTGGAGCTCCGACTGGAAGCCAGTCTGTCCGCGCCAAAGTTCCGAGGTGGAACACACATGAGCGGCTTTTTGCTCTGGAGACCCCCACGTAAGCGTAGTCGCGGTCGGTCGGGTAGTCTTCGATCGAACCTCAGAGCTACAGCATCCAAGGTTGCTCCTTGGGCCCGCCTCATCGTCGTAGAGTACCCGTACGTCACCGGCTGGTACTTTCGGCCCTTAACGGTGATCGGGTAAACGACTACTACTGCTACTACTACTGCTACTACTACTACTACTACTACTACTACTACTACTATCACTACTACGAATATAAAAATGTATGGCGCTAAGTTGTAGGTGGAACTTCGCTAAGTGATAATAAAACGAACTCTGTATTTTCTCAATGTTGTGGGATTCTAAGGGTGGGTGGGTGTTATATCGAAACCATGAATACAGCTATACTGTAAAACTGCTCGATCCGGAGCTGCTGAACCCTAAACCCTAAACCCTAAACCCTAAAACCCTCAACCCCTAAACCCCTAAACCCCAAAACCCTAATCCCTAAAACCCTGAACCCTAAACCCTAAAACCCTAAACCCTAAACCCTAAACCCTAAAACCCTAAAGCCCTAAGTCCCTAAACCCTAAACCCTAAACCTATATACCTATAGTATTTAAACCCTGATGCATTTTTTGAACAATGGACCCCCATTGTTCTTGCAATTTTTGAACAAGGACCCCCATTGCTCTTGTATTTTTGGACAATGCACCCCCATTGTTCTTGCAAATTTGGACAATGGACCCCCTGGACCCCCATTGTTGATGCATTTTTGGTCAGTGGACCCCCATGGTTCTTGCAATTTTGGATAATGGAGCCCCTGATTTTGGTTAATGGACTCTCATTCGTTTGTTGTTTCCTGACAAAATCGAAGCTGAACTTGTTGGTTGTACTGGATAGATACTCTCTGCCTATGTTATGGGACCTTTGGGTGGGTGGGTATTATTCCATGTTCGGATTAGCTAGCCAGACTAGAAATTGCTCGACCAAGGCTGCTGAACCCTAAACCCAAAACCCAAAACCCTAAAACCTTAAACCCTAAACCCTAAAACCCTTAAACCCTCAAACCCTAAAGCCCTAAACTCTAAATCCTAAACCCTAAACAATAAACCCTAAACCCCTCTTTTTGCTGCCAAGGAGGAGCCTCGGGAAGTCTGCTCCCGAGGAGGCTCTACGCGAGGCCAAGGAGGCGATTCCGGCAACGTCTACGTTGGGTTCAGGGTTTCTAGGGTGTTAGGGTTTTAGGGTTTTAGGGTTTTAGGGTTTAGAGTTTAGGGGTTTAGGGGTTTAGATAAGGCACTATTACGGACCACAGGGGCTAGAGATCCGGGAGGGTTCTTATGGGGTTCAGGGTTTAAGGTTTCTATACCAAACGTACTGCATCCTGTGCTAAATTGAGGGTCCTTTTTTCCGCCCCCCAAAGTAGTATGGCACTCTTGTAAGAAGGACCCTAGAAAGGGCCCTAGTTTAGAGAACTACTCATAAACAGGAGTCTTTAGGGTTCAGGATCTGGGGTTCCATACGGGTTCTGTAATTAGAACAGTTTTCTCTTCCCGGAGTGTTCTCTTCCCGGGTCCTTCTAATCCTAAACCCTAAACCCTAAACCCTAAACCCTAAACCCCGAAAGCCCTAAACCCAGAAAGCCCTAAACCCGAAACCCTAAATCCGCGAGAAGAGGTGCTATGAGGGTTCAACTTCCGGGCCTGAAGTGGTTAGAGGAGGGCCTTGGGGGTAGGGTTTAGGGTTTAGGGTTTAGGGTTTAGGGTTTAGGGTTTAGGGCCTTGGGGGTAGATTCTGCTATAAATGTACCAAGGAACCCTAAGGAACACTACTGTTGATGATATGAACCCTGCAGTACCTTAAGGACCCTAAACTATGGGACTTGTGGTATAATCCTGATTAATTATGGGTATTGCAGGATTTATATCATCAGCCGTAGTAGTAATGAGTATAAATTATCTAGGGGAACTAGGCCTCAGGCCGGGTTTTCCATAAGGAGTGGCGACCCTGCGAAGCTATCGGAAAAAACTCAATACAAATTAGGGATTTAGGGGGTTTTGGGGTTAGGGCTTAGAGTTTGGGGGTTTAGGGGTTTGGGTTTAGGCTTACGGCTTATAGGGCCTAGGGTTTAGGGTTTAGGGTTTAGGGTTTAGGTCTTAAGCGACCCAGAACCTGACACGCTGGGGGGTTGCTGGGCCGGGCGCCATGTTTTGTATGACAGGTTGCTGGGTCTGCCCGGGCTGCTGGGAACCTGCAGCTGGTGGCGGAAGCGGTCAGTTGGGAGCTAAGGGTTTAGGGTTTAGGGTTTAGAGTTTTGGGCTCTAAGGGTTTAGGGTTTAGGGTCTAGGGCAGTTGTGGTTTAGGGTTTAGGGTTTAGGGCAGTTGTGGTTTAGGGTTTAGGGTTTAGGGCAGTTGGGCTCTAAGGAAATGCTCTGGCTGCAAGCAGTTACGGCTTTGGGCTATTTAGGGTTTACAGGTTTAGGGCTCCGGGGGTGTAGGGTTTTGAGGGTTCGGGCGGGGTTCGGGGTGCAAAATACGTTTTGGAATCTCTGCAGTACGAACCTTTTTTTTGTGTCGTTGAATGAACAAGGTCCCGATACTTTATGAAGGTTCAGATCCTCGTTGCAAGCAACTCCTTGACCGGGCAGGATTTGGCAAGTGTACTCAGTTGTGGGTCGGTCCTCGTCGTAGGAAGCCTTAGTTTAGCACCACCGATTGGAGTAGGAGTCGCGGCAGCCCGTCTTTTTTTATTCTCTCTCGCTCTCTCTCTCTTTCCTCACTTGTCTTCTCTAAACCTTAAACTCTCTAAACCTTATTGCTAAACCTTAAATCCCGAACCTTAACACGTCTCATGTCGAGTACCCCCAAAGCACGCAGCTCCTCTGCCTCTATCTCTCTCTTTTGTGTTTCTATGCCTTATGTTGGGGATTCTCTTTCCAAGAATCCTCCTAATAGTGCAGAGAAGCTTGAGTTTTTCACATACATTATTCCTGAAAGCTCCGCCTCACTATGTTTGTATACTATCACCCGGAAGCCTTGTTCAAAGTATTAAGTGACATATGGGTAGTTCTCTAAAGTAGGGTCGGCAAACTACCCATATAGTAAGTACCAACCCTAAACCCTAAACCCTATACCCTAAACCCTAAACCCTAAACCCTAAACCCTAAACCCGAAACCCTAAAACCCTAAACCCTAAACCCTTCTTTAACCTGGGTGGGTTTTGGGCTTTCCGAGGCCTGCAAGGCCTGGCTTTGGTCTCCGCCGGACGCGCCGTGGAGGTGCCCAGGATTTCCTAGCGAAAGCGGTGCCCTCCCTTTAGGGTTTAGGGTTTAGGGTTTAGGGATTTGTTCAGAATGAAGTTGTTCGTTTTTGTGAGGGGCGGAGGTGTGGGGTTTAGGGGTCAGTGGTTTAGGTTTAGATTTCTGGATGTAAGAAGCAGCGCATGCTAGAGAAACTGGCAAGTTGTATCCTGTAGTTCCTGTTTGAGCACCGCATCGAGGTTTTCCCGAAGTTTGGATCAGTTCTCAAACAACGGTCTGCGAACCGAACGTTGCCCCTGAAACCCAGAAGTATCCGAAGCCCCGCATTGATAACGTTTAAAGCCTGAACCGGAAGGACCCTAAGCTCCAACCCCCGGCATAGCTTTAGGACGCCCAGTTAGGATCCGAAGAACTTGGGAGGTACGGTTGATGGACAAAATGCTGCATGACCTTATATACCTAAACTATGGGATTTATGGTACTATACTATATTATGGGTCATGCAGAATTTTGTCCATCAACCGTAGGGCCCCGTAGGGGTTCAGGGCGAGGTGCGGCTTCATAACATCCCCAGTTCCCTTCGGAGGCACAGCAAGTGTTGGGCGCTGAGCTCAACGCGAGCCGAAGTGCAGGCGCTCTCAACGTTTAACCGTGCTTGAAGCATGAGACTGCATGTTCATGGACGCATCATGTGCTAAAGTGAAGGCGACATGGGGTACATTAGCAAGAAATTCACAACCGATTGCTCCGTTCAACGGGTTTGCGCATGACGTCATGGCCGCAAGTGAAAAGATGCTGCAAGTTACTACCCTAAACTCTACACCCCTATCCTGATTGTTTAGGCTTTGCATTACCTAGAAACAGACCTGACAAGATGTCGGAATGTCGGCACGTAGTCCGCAAATCACCAGAAAGCTGTACGCTAAACCCTACACTAAACCCGAAACCCTAAACCCTAAACCCTAAACCCCTAAGCCCTGAACCCTACACCCCAGAAACTCATGTCAACCCTTAGCCCCAATTCCTCTCAGGAGATCACCAGAGTCAGGCAATTCTGCTGGCGGCGCAGAGCAGCGTGGCGCTTGCAGCTGCTGGGCTCAGATTATCAAGGTTTAGGGTTTAGTGTTTAGGGGTTTAGGGTTTAGGGTTTGGGGTTTTGGGTTTAGGGTTTAGGGTTAGGGCTGAAAGGGGTTTAGGGTTTAGAAAGGTCATGAAAGAGCGGCAAAGGCATATGAAGAAGCAGCTGGGATTCTGTAGTCAGTATACATGAATGAACTGCAAAAAGGTTTGTATAGGTCCGAGTACTCAATTGTGGACCGTTGTGGTCCCGGCATCCATCGTTTCCGATCCTGGCTTCTTCAACAATCCATCTACGTATCTGTCTATCCGCCCATCCCATTTAATCTAACCTAGTCTAATTTAATCTAGCCGAATCTTATCCTATAAATGTAGCTACCTATCTACCTATCTGCCTAGCTACCCATCAACTTATCTACTTACCTACTTATCTACTTATCTACCTGCCTACCTACTTACCTATCTATCTACCTGCGTACCTACCCCTCCTACCTACCTACCTACCTACCTACCTACCTACCTAACTAACCTACCTACCTACTTACCTACCTACTTACCTGCCTACCTACCTACCTATCTATCTATCTATCTATCTATCTATCTATCTATCTAGCAATCTATCTTATGTATGCATGATTTCCACACGTGCACGCGCAGTCTATTCCTCGGTATACATCTTCACGATGCACACAAAGATATGCCTTCATACATGCAGACCAACGCAGACACAGACAGAGCCACAGAGAGAGACATACAGACACAGACAGAGACACCCACACACACAATCCATGTAACTATTAAGTATATGTATGATATATGTGTATGTAATGCATGTACGTCTGTATTTAGGCATGTATGTATGTATGTATGTATGTATGTATGTATGTAAGTATGTACGTACATCTGTACGTGTATCTGTGTATATGTGTATATGTGAATATGTGTATGTGTGCATATGCATAGATGTATAGATGTATAAATGTATATTTGCGCACACATGCATTTATATATATATATATATATATTTATGTACATGTATATATATCTATATCTATACATATATAATATACACACCTATTGTATACGAAGAAACAGTGATAGAGACGAGCAGGTTGAGAGGTAGGCAGGCAGGTAGCCAGAAAGGTAAACGGAGAGACACAGTTTCACGCCGCCAGTACACATTTACCCTGAGCCCTAAATCCCAAAAGCCTAAACCCTAAACCTAAAACTGTAAACCCTAAATTGAAACCCTAAACCCTAAACCTTGAATTCTAGACACTAGACTAGATAGACCCTGAACATGAAATTTGTAAAGCCTAAGCCCTATACATCTTGTGCTGTTGTTCTGCTGCTCAATGCTGCGGCAGGCCGGGGACGCGAAGACGGCGCAGGGCTACGCAAGCGAAGGCGCCAGAAGGGTGGAGGTGCTTGAGGAAAGGGTTGAGGGTTTAGGTGTTTAGGGTTTAGGTGTTTAGGGTTGAGGGTTTAGGGTTTAGGGTTTAGGGTTGAGGGTTGAGGGTTAAGGGTTTAGTTTCCCGAAACTTGGAGCCCCAAAAACCCGGAACCCCAACCGAAACCCGAGACCCGAAGCCCTGAAACGCTGAAGCCCCAAGTGCCCTAAGCCCTAAACCCGAAACCTTCACGCGGCTAGAGGCAGGGAGTCGTATTTTGATCTTCGATCCCAGGCCGACAGATCATTTCAAGAAAGGGCTCGCCATCGGAGAAGCAAAGCAGGCACGAGGGTTCAGGGTGAATTCAAGTTTCCAGAGACTCCAACAACTTTGTTAATTCAGGGATCTAACTTAACTCATGCTGGGTGATCCTACTATAATTCAAGACATATGCCTCAATTAAGGGGTTTTGGAGTCTCTGGGTTCAGTGTATAGACTTATAGTTATCCCTTCAGTAACCCATATAGGACTCCTCAAAGTAGCACTCCTTACAGACTCCGTATAGTCACCCTTACGGTACTGGGTGTAGCAACCCTTCTAGTAACCTCTATGTTAGAGTCTAGGGTTTTGCGTGAGATGCTGCAAGTTCGTAGGGTGTAGGGTTTGCGCTAAACCCTAAACCCTAAACTGTGTAGGATGCTGCAAGTGCTCTCTGAGTCGCATCCAGCTGATTCAGGGCGCTTCTTCTCCGACTGCATGTGGCAGCATCTGGGATGAGACAGAGTTCGGGGTTTACGGTTTGGGACTTTAGGCTTTAGGCGTCAGGGTGTAGGGGTTTAGGGGTTTA